TTGTGGGCGGGACTAAGTTCGGAATGGCACCCAGGCTAGAGGGTTTGGGCATAGAGCTTGGAATCTTGAGGTTCTGATTTCAAGCCCCACTCCCACAGACTGCCACTCTGGGTCTCTGAGCAAAGACCCTTAACCCCACACTGCTCCCCGGGCGCCCCACAATGGCAGCCCACTGCTCCCCAAGGGGATAGGTTAAATCTCCAACGTGAGATCAGTTAAGTTCAATTATCATTATATTTAAAGAGATAGCTTTGATTTATGTTGTCGTACACAGAGGAGCTTTACTGACATTTTAAAATTCCTCTTAAATATTTCCAGTATTAATTTAAGTGTCAACTTTGCGGCTATCACTCTTTAGCACAGCTTTCATGGAGGCTTAGTAACCTTTTCTGGTGTTTCATGTTCATCTGCCTCACAGGAAAAACGCCTCCAAATAAAAACTTTGCTTTTTATTCTCAAAACTTTCTGTGTTTAGGGAAGCAATTGGTTAGAGCGTTAACTGAAATAATGTAGTTGGGTAAATTAGGTAGTCTGTGAATATCTGCTGATTCTTGATACTGATTGAGGACAATTTAGTCTTTATTTGCCTTTAAAAAGTAACTAACACCATAACCGTGCATTAAAAACAGTTTTGCTGATGGTGTTATGAGGATATGAGCAGTTTTCCTTTTCTCTCTGCTGGAAAGTTTGATCATTTCACCCAGTGGAAAGTTCTCTGCATCTGTTTTATGCTGGGTGAGTAACGATGATTGTATATTGCTGTGTAGTATTTGCATTTTTGCAATGACTGTTCTGAATAATAAAGAAAAACGATCAGCATGAAATATTTCCACTCCAGGTCAGCAGAGTTAACAGCCCAGTGCTCATCAGCAGATAATCAAATGGACTCCCACCACTGCGGGTTCCAGCTCTACTGCTGTGTAAATGTGGGCGTAAAAGAAATCCATCAGTAGTCGCGCAGATGTCTCTTGGTTTTTAACACTGAAACTGTTGCTCCTGACAAATGACCAGTTCCTTAAAAAGTACAGAGATTATTTTGTTCCATTAATGTTGAAATACATCTTTATCTTAATTTTTGAAAGAAAAAAAAAGAAATTCATATTTTATTTTTTCACATAAAAAAAAATAAAA